CTATTCTTAAATTGCAGGGAATTAAAGGGAAAAAGAGGGAAATTTTCTATAAGGGATTCCCTTTTTGTGTAAGAGGGATTCCCTTCCCTTCCCTCTTCACTTATTTTCCATTCCCTTTCCCTCTTTTCCCCTTAAGGGAAGAGGAAATCCCTGCAGGGAAGAGGGAAAAGAAAAATTTAGTTGCAAGTCTACTATAAACTACTTGATATTATAAGAATATGCACTTTATACTTACTGTTTGCCACCAATTTTAAATGTTTAAAAAATTCATATTATGGTAAAGAGTAGACTTACCAGATCATTTTACATCAAAAATGGATTTTTATAAAATATAGATATGGAAAAATGGACAAAAATGGACACATGACATATGCCATGAGATTTCATATGTAAAATATTTGAAAACTTGTATTGATTAAAATGGATATAATAATGTCCATTTCTGGTACTCTAAACATGGTACTCCAAGGGACAAGGCAGCCCAAAAATGGACATCTGGTAACCCTAGTAGAGAGGTGTGTAATAACGTGTAATAATATAATACATGTTTAAATAATATTTGATTACAATTTTAACTTACATATTAAATTATATATTATTTCGGTAGATCTAGCTGGATCAATATCTTTATATACATATGTCACTTTTAAAGGTTGTAATTGAAACTCTTACAATCTAGCAGCTAAACAAAGATTATTAAAAGTTTTGGTTTATAAAGTACAAATATTTAATTACTTATACATTATAATTAAAACAAACCATATGGGATTTTATTATTAAAAAGTCGCCATTTATTATGCGTTACATTAATACAAAGTAATTATAAATTTTAAAAGCATTTAATTAAATTTAATATAGCTTTTGTTGACACATTAATTTGTATTCAATTCATTCACCACTTTTATTCTCATCCTCATTAGCCAGTTGAGCATCATCTTGTTTTTTCGCATCTTGAACCGATTCACTATTTTGTATAGCAGCTATGGCTTTTTTATACGCGTCAGATTGGCCAGATATTTGCTCTACCAGTACTGTGGTAATCACCAGCACCACTATTATGACCAGGGCAGCTTTCGGTATCGCCATGTTGTCAAACAAATAAACAATATTTTCAAATAAGTTAACTTTTAAATTATATGTGTGTTGTCTGTTCACTGAGTTGGAGTTTTATAAAATTTAATGTTAGATTTTAATTATTAGTTTATTTTATAATAACTAATTAATTTTACACCATAATTTTTATTGAGTAACCTTATTGGTCAATAGGTGTTTGTGCTCAATATAGGGCTTGACTAGATAATGCTTGGAAACGACATCTAGTTACTATTGTGTAGAGTAATAATGAACAACTAAATTATTTTATTGCAGTGATATAAATTGTATTGCATTAATGGATGTGTTAATTACAATTTGAAAATTATAAATTTTATAGATGTAATAAGTTATATTGGTAATACAATAGAATTAATGTGTGCAAACAACTTTATTTATACATAAATTGATGATGCTAAATTAGTGACAGGTTGCATGTTAATGATGCTAAAATGAGTTGAAGTTCCTATGAAGGTAAACATTTTTACATTGATTATAAATACAATTAGTATTTAATGAGAGACAACTGTATTATTATTTCAAATATTGAATTTATATTAACCATATTGTTTTTGACAAAAAATTAATAAATAATTTTATTGTTAGAAATGTGCATGACAAGATGCAATGTTGTCCAAATCGACCCTGATGAGTTGACCGAGTTTTTAAAGGCACATAAAGCGGTGGACGATGCGGAGGTGGTCGGCATTAATAACAAGATTAGTTTACATTGGCTTCGGGCGTATGTGGTAATTAAAAATGGCCATACAATCGCCCATGGTAAGCTGGAAAAATATGTATTAGGTAGGTTTTAAAAGATATGATTTGATAGAGTTTGTACTTTTTGAAAAGTTTATAACTTGTATGCCTGATGAGTGTAATAAAGTTATTAGTTTTAATTAATTTAAGTTAATAAAAGTTTAGACAATTAAATTTGTGATACATATTTTAAATTGTAATTAATGTGATTATGAATTATAAGTTATTATTTATAAAACGTTAATTTAATAAAGTTTTAATTATTAATTTTTAGAAAACAACCCTCTCATTATAAGCACTTGGAGGGAGAGGTGGAGTTTGTAGACTACATTCACACCACATTAATCGGCAATAGTGTGCGAAAGTACTATAGAAATATAGTGAATAGCGATCTGAGCGGTTAATTTACATTATATTAAATTATGGTTAACCTGTATTGCTGTACAATCCTTGTTCGGATAGAAATCCTTTGGAGTTGTCTTAGTTTCAATTTGATATAAACGAATTCAACCAAGGATGTTTGCAAAACATCCTGTTAGTCATTTAATAACAAAATGTGAAAAAATTAATTTCTAAATTCTAAACATTTTTGAACAATATCATATTTCATCAACAAACTAAGAATGTGATTATCTCGAAAAGTATTTGAGATAATTAAAAAATTCTTTCACAGCCTGAACAAGTGTTTAAATAACAATTAAAAATACAATTAAATACAATTGTGACTAATGATTAATGAATGACAAACAACCATTAAAAGTTTCAAACAGTAATTAGAGTACTATAACATCGGAATCTCAATATGAAAGTGGGGTTGATTTTGAAGCTTTACTAACTCTACAACAGAATCTGAAGAGAAACTCTTGAGATTTTTATGGTAATAACGAATTTTTGACAATAAATTAATTTTCATAAAAATGGATAGTAGAACATATGTAGAACACATTTGAGGGATAGAAAAAAATTTTAAAATTTTAAAAAAATTTTAAAAATTTGACCTAGGATAATATTTTTTTATATTTTTATCTTTGTATTATATTCTTTCATTATGATAAAAATTAAATTAAAATATGGCCACTTTGTTGAAACTTAAGACAACTCCTTTAAATGCTTATCAACTTTATTTTATATTTTATTTCAATTAATAAATTTCTGAATACTTCATTTTTAAAAATATCTATTTACCAATATAATTATTAATTAGCAATATAATTGTGACATCTATTTCTGACACGTTTGAATGCCCTTGGTGTATTTATAAGCAGCGCAGCGTTTTTCCTCCAAATGATTAATGTATTTTTGGATTTCATTTCCATAGTTAGTCACATCATCTGCGGTACAATCGGCCTAAATATGATAAATAAATAACCAATTAGAAACATGCTAAAAATTTAAAAACATAAATTATTTATCTTAATAATTACTAAATAATGTAAATTAAAAACCTACCTGAACAGCAGATAACAGTGAATCCAACTCCACATATTTCGTGCAACAGTGATAACTCATATTATCGCCATAATCTAGGTCCAAGTCGGGTATTTTGATCATGACAGTTTTGGCGGCATCGTATATGGCAACGCTATTACATTCACCACTCATATTATCCATACCCCAAACCATGCTCTGTAGGTCCATGGTCACTTCCCATTCAGTGTTATATTCCATACACTGTCCCACCGACATAAATGTAGCTAAGATAATTATTGCTGAAAACATCTTTTATCGTTGTAGTTTTAAGTTTTAAATAAAACTAACTTATAATACATTTTTCATATGAAAGACAGCTTTATATACAATTTTGATGTTTAGTAATTATTATTATGATTATTTATTAATTTATTATGTATTACGGCATGCACGTCTGTTTATGTATCATGATTAATTAATTAGGCTAGTGTAAAGCAAACAAACGGATGCTTTGCACATTTTATAAAAATTATTTATGGCGTTGAATAAGTTTGCCCGTGTTAATTAATTTGCCCAACAATTTGAAAGTACTTTACAACATTTAAGACTAGGTCAATTGTATTATTCTATTAATCAACATGTTAATCTTATTTCTAAATAATGCACATACTGTATCTTTAATATTTTTAAATTGATTTGTTTTAAGTACATTGTACAAACGTCTAGTTAATATTAATTGATAATCAAATTAAATGCCATATTATAAATTCATGATGTTCATTTAATTTTTATTAAATAAATAAGTTTTTTATTTGCTGTAAATTTTACAATGTGACGTTATTATTAATATTATTTTAAATGTTTTTAAAAATAATTTTTAATGTAATTCTTTATTGCAATATTGTATTAAAAATATGGTTGATAGAAGTTGTAGTAATTTCATGATGCAGTAATTTCTCTCTCTCTCTCTCTCTCTCTCT